CTATTTCTATTCGAATTTCATTGTTACAAATTTTGTCAAAATATTATTTAAACGAGTAAAGAATTTCTTTTAATCGATCGATTAAGGTACACGTGTTCTTTCCCCTTCTAAAATTATTTTTTTTTTTTTAATTTTTGGTGTAAAACTATAACGAACGTTTGTTTTAGTAACATCGGGGATGTTCGCATGATTGAATTTCAACGATTGGAATGTTAAATAGGAAACCCATATTCTTTTTACTTTAATCGTTTTCTCCCCGCGTGCACAATATGAAAGTAAACAGAAGAGTGTTCTTTTTTTTTTTTTTTTTCTTTTAACTACGAGAACGGAAACGTAAAAAGTACTCGTCGGATAGTTCGGATTCGTCGTCATTCGGATTCGAAGCGGATTAACGGTAGCACGAAGAGTCCAGTTGGTGAACCGACCGACACGCATTCGTTCGTACGACGACCTTCGAAAGAACAAGACGCCTAACTGTGACTCGTAAAAGGAGGAGTCGGACGTTGATCTTCCTTTTAAATTTCACGCTCAATAGTATAATATTATAATATGACTTATGCGAATTATTATTTTGCTATATTATAGACGATACAACTTTCTTATTTTTAAATTACAAATACCTATGTAGATAGAAGAAGCTTTGTAATGCATCAATGAACGAATCACATACTTTCTTTTATGGTTTCTTATGGGGGAACCCACCTCGTCACCTCTTTCTCTCTTTCTTTCTCTTTCTATCTCTGATACAATCTCGTCGATATCACCGTGCAACGTTTCGATTCGAAAGCAAACAGAAAATAAACATTGTAACGTATTATTTTTAACGAAGCCAATTATGGCTTCGTGAATTATTTTGCGATAAAATACCTCTAATAATTTTTCTTATTATTATTATTATTGTATTTTATTAAATTTTCTTCTTTTTCTCTTTCGCTCTTTTTATTTTACGGGTTTTTTTTACGCGCGAACTAACGAGGTCTATAATTAAACTCAAACAATGGAAAGAATTCGTCGAGATTTTATATGGGTTAGCATACGATTCGATCCACTCTCTCGAAAAAAGTGTGTTCGTGTACCAGAAAAATTCTAGCAAGAAACAATCGTTGTGTACTTTTATATTTATTTTTATTAATCTATCGCGTTATTATTTTTTATCAATGGAACAAAATATTGTTAGAAGCATATTTAAATAAGTAACTTTCTTTGTGCTTTATTTTCGAATATTTTACTTTTTCCAACAATCGATATCCCGATAATGAAATTTTTGAAAAAAACAAGGATAAAAAAATCATGACGTTTAGAGAGAGTAAAGTCTGTGATTGTATTGTACTTATATTTTCTTTCTTACTAATATAAGAACATGAAAGACAAAATAATTACTTGACGTGTCGTAACATAAAGAGACATATCATGCATGTACGTACTATAAGTAATTAGTATATACCTAGTGTGTACGAAACTTTTGACAAATAAAAATAACAATAAATATTAATAATCAAAGATATTCAAATATTCTATGTTTTAATTCTTAATATGCTGTGTAAAGAAAAAAAAAAGAATATTTAATTATTATTTTTAATTTATTTAATTTCGCAATAAAATAAATAGATTACTTAAACACGTGCATATACAATGAATAATTCTCAAATGAATAAAATTCGAATAACTGAGAAAAATAATATCTAAAATCGATCATTTTGATAAGTTTGATAATTCCAGTATCGAAATGATCACCTACCCAGTATATTGGTAAAGCAACAACCGCGAATGTACTAGGTATATTATCCCATATGCTTCTCGCGTAGCTTAGAAGAGAAATATTGGAATAAGAAAGAAAAGAAGAGGGTATAGAACTCTTCGAGGTCTCGCTCCTTGTCCGAGTTTTCAAAGATTTCAAACAATTTTCCATTCTAATCCTAGATAGAGAGAGAGAGAGAGAGAGAGAGAGAGAGAGAGGAGAGAAAAAAATAAATAAGAGAAATATTAGGGTGAATCAAAAAAGTTCGTACGTTTTTTTTTTATAATTAATATTTCCAAAGTAAATTTTTTACAAAAAACAATTCATTATACAGTTTGTAACGCAATAAACGTACGAATTTTTGATTCACCCTAATGGAAAGAGAATTTTCAAAGATTACCAAAGTAAAATCTGGTGATTTCAACGCTCGCATAGAAAACGACAACGAGTGTTTGGAAAAATATTATATTATCGAACGATGTCAGATCGATCGTAAAGATTTATCAACGTTGTTACAAATTTGTTCTAACGAAAGTGAGATAGGGTAAGGTAGGATACTACAAAATCAACATTTTTATACACCTTTCCATCGATTAAAATGAATTATTCTTTCGTTGCAATGTTTTACGTGGAAAAAAGCCGCAGTAATGAAAACTAATATAAAAATAAAAATGTATATTAAAGAAAGAGCTAATATATAAATATTTATTTTATATACAGGCTGTGGGTTCCAAAAATCACTTTACCAAGAAATAAAAAACAAAGCAAAAAATCAATAATAGTTTGTTAATATTATTACAATATCAGATTTGTTTCATTTCAAGATACGAATCTCACCATAAAATATGGATTCATGATACCATTACTATAAATACCTATTAAATAAATATTTCTAATTTTTCAATTAATTAAAACAATTCTTTAAACATTAAACTATGTATTTTCACATCCAAAAATAATAACGAAAATATAGAAAAACCTAAATCTATTTTATCCATTATTGATGCCAATACTGTAATTCAAAACAATCATGCATTTCATTTTCATTTTAAAAAAACGTATTATCTTCGAGTAATATTGATATTTCGTTTCGAACATTTAATACAAGATTGAATTTATTGGATTATAAAACAAAAACAAAAAATTCGGGCGAATTAAAAAAATGTAAAGAAAATTTTCATAATCAACTAATTGCATATATATATATCGAATATATATTATATAATATTTTATAATTCGTTACAAATTGCCTGTGTGCAATCCAATACATTATTAATTCTTAGACCTCGTAAACGTATAGTATAATTTATAACGTATAAAAACTAATGGCAAATAAATCAAGGGAACTGGTGTCAATGATGAAATATGAAAATAAAATCAATGCAATGGTTTACGTAACTATCCTGTTAAAAGCTCAACTTCTCAGCAACAGTTGGGGTCCATGGCTTTTTCTTATTTTCTTCTTCGCTTATATTATGTTAGATTAATCCTCATAGTCAGTTAAGTACGCTTTCGAAGATAAAGAAGGTGGGATTGGATTGGGGAAAGGAACCTCGAACGAATGAACGTATGAACGTTCGAACAAATGAACGAAAGAGCAAACGCGGGCGCGGCTCACTAACACATTAACAAACGTGCGAGAATCGCGAATGCAATATTAAAAAAAAAAAGAAAAGAAAACAAAAAGTAACGAGGACCAGCCATCATGTTTTTTTTTTCACCTTCGAACGAGATAGATATCGCATTTCTCTTTCAATCATAGTTCGCATTGAAAATGCCACCGTTCCACTCTCGACTCTTCGTATTTGTCGAAAGTACACACACACACACACACACACACACACACACATACACACCGGTAATCTCGTATGTATGTATATAATATCTCTTCCCCTCTGAAAACTGAATTAATCGGTTAATAAAACATACTTTTCTTATTTATCGAATCTAAACCTCGTCCAGAGACAAGTAATATTTCTCGTTGTTATTTAAAAATATATATTCGATTTGCATTTCATAGTTTATTTATAATAAACCGGATATTAGTCAATAATTAAGTAATATCGTAGTGATATAATTTTAAATTATCGATTATCAAACTGTATTACGTAAAAGGATAACTTATGTTCTGCGATAAAATGTATTTGATTATTTCTATATGTTTAATTTTTCTATAATTAAATCATTCGTATGTATTCTCAATTAATTTCTTAATTAACATATTATCTATATAAAATAATAAATAAATGTTCTATTTTGAAATTATAGAAAATTGTTGATATATTCTATCATTATTGGTATGGAAAAGTTTGGGAAACGTTGATTAGAAGAATCATTAAAAGTAGTTGGATGTTAAGTTAACATGCTCTACGTTCTCTCGATGGTTTCAATATCGTAAGATCGGTAACGAACGATGATGTAATAAGAAAGATGATCTGAATCATCGTTATCCTTTAATTTCTGATCGAATTTATATCATCGTATGTAAAATAATATCAAGTATATTGATTTCATTTGATTTTAAATTAAACAAAATAACAAAAATATTGTAGTTTGGATCGATAAAACACAAAGTATGGAATCAAATGTTTATTTTACAAGAAGTGGCAAGTAGGATAGGATACCGTATAGCCGAAGGCATGTTCGCTCGGTGACCGACTATTTTCTCTCTCCCTCCCTTCTCCGGCATCTTGTTTTATCCTCCCACCATAATATCCCGCGTTCCATCCAGTTTACCTTCTCGTGCTACCTTCTCGAGATATTTTTCCCTGTTTTTCTTCCTCTTATTTTTCTCGTCTTCCACGAGTTCCTCTTCCCTTTTCCTCTTCGGAATCTCGATTCGATCAATTTTTTCAACCGTTCGATTAATATTCTTTACTTCTTTCTTTCTCTTTGCATTACAAGAATTCTATGATACATCCAACTTTAAGATCGTTTAATTTGTTTACATCGAAAAACGTTTAGATCATTGATGCATAAGTTATTTGGATCGTACGTTGAAAAAAATATATCTTTTACGATAACAAACAGTTTTAACATTTTAAATCGTTATGAGATAAAATTTAAAACAAAAATCAAAAATGGTTATTTATATTCACATATATGTACATGAACCACATTCATAACTTATTCATTTTCAAATTAACATTGTAGTTTCATTTATCATGTACGGTCTAAAAGTTGTTCTCATTTAATGGTGTTAAGACCTAATTATTAAAGTAAGTAAACGGCTCATATAACATTTAAAAAAAATATATATATATATATATCTAATATATATTTATAAATCAGCACGAACTTTCCGAGCAATCTAATATTACATATATATAGAGAATAATATAATAAATAATTATTCTTTAAATTTAATTAATTATTAACTATAATTAAATCCTATTGATATTATATTTTTTCAAAATTTCTTATTAAAATCATCATTATATGATAAAACAATATAAAAGCTTCACCTTAATTTTGGAAATATTTTGACTGTCACACCCAAATTCAGATAACTTAGCGTAATTGTGTTAAAATGACGACATTAATCGTCCCAGTAACTAGTTTTCTAAGATATCGTATTCTCTTAATTATTGAACGTTATAAACCTAGATTGCAAGTAAGCTGTGGTAACTTGTCTCCAGATTAGAAAATATTATAGTACGAGTAGTCGATACGCGAATAGCGTTACACTGGCTGGCCTTCGATGCAAATATACTGTTTCTTTACGATTAAAAGTCGATCTTGAAAGTATTACTAAACTCTCGATCGAATCTTTTATTCTTTATTTTTTTTTATATATATTTATTTGATCACAAATACATATTAGAAGAAATTCAAATATTAATAAAATAGCTTTATATATATATAAATAAGTTTTAAAGGTACAAAATTTCTCTTGACGTATATATGTAATTTGTGTGTGTATTTTTTTTCTATTAATCGTTTATTTAAATTTCTTTCATTAAAATCAACATATAATTCTTTCTAATGGCATACCGTGATTCCTCGTAAGTCGCACGTGTCGAATATACCGTGTCAAGTGAACTCGACGAATATAGAGTTCGTGTGAACCGGTTAAACCGTTATGATTCTTCATTCATACCGTAATGGAAGTTGTACTTCCTTGGTATGTTATTTGATAAACGACAAAATTTTCTATAGTATGAAATATAACGATTAAACCCTTAGTAACCTAATTTCTTAATTATATCTACATCCAAAAGTAATATAATGTTACACAAGTTTGAACACATTACTTGTTTTAATACAATTATACTATAATAAATATAACTTATACTTTTAAAAAATATACAAGTTTCATATTTTTATCTATCCTAAAATCAAGAAATAATTATATATAAAAATAAATATATTATTATGCGATTTCAAAGTTACACGATGTAACATAAGATTAAATATCGAGTTAAATTATAAAAAAGAAAAAAAAATTGGCCGATCGATCGAAATAATTAGACAAAATATACATCCATTTAACGAATGTAATTCATTTGGTTGCATCTTCGTGAGGTCGTCCGTTACGTCAGGAAACTTTCTACCTGCACAATGTCGTATCACCGGCAGATCTCTGAGAATAAAGGCTTCTTTGAAACGAAACAGAGAAAGAGAGTTGTGATACTTTCGTGAGGTCCCAATGAGAATAACTGAATAACAGAACGTATATATGTATATAAGTAGGTTTATCAAGGACGTTCACTTCCTTGTCTTATCTTCTTTTATCCGTTTCAAAAAAAAAAAAAAAAAAAAAAGGGGAACCTACTTAATATCCTGGCAACATTATTATCGTATGTATTTTCGAGGTTACACAACCTGAATGAATGGTATAGAAAATTGTTTAAATGATTAACAAAAAGAAACAAAATGACGAGTAAATCGTTGAAAGTTATTCTATCGAAACGAAACCCATTAAGTATTTACAAGTAAAATTTGTACTTTACATCCAATCACCATTATCGAACTTAACAAGTTTCTTGGCCCGGACATACCGCATCGCTTGCTCACGGTTCCATTTACCGTTACACCGAACCTCTTGACGACATTGTTTCACAGTTGGATCATTGATAACAATTAAATAATGTTAACGAAAGAAGGTCGAAAGATATTAACTTATCGTGTGTGTGAATCCTTGAGAAAAGAAGATAACTCATTTAAATACATGTATAATATATAAATAGAAAATATACAATATATATTAGATTTAAATCCGGGAAAGATGATCCACTTTTATTTTAATATAACATACATTCTTCATTTGATCGATATTAAATGAAGGAGTAATATTTATAGAAATAAATATATGGGGGAGAAATTATAATATATCAATATAAAACTAACAAATTCTTATATAGATTTTTCTAGATAAAAAGAAAAAAAGATATTGTGGCTCAGGTAAAAAAAAAACACATTAATAAAATGATAATTTAAGGAATAAGCTAAACATTTTTTGGAGAGTATCATCTTATTTCCATATTACAAATAATTATCTAATTTTTCAATTGAAAACAAAATGAAAGAGAATCATTAATGAGTCTTATATAATAATATTATATTATAAATAATTAAAAATTGAATTATATTATACATACAATATATAATACGAGATCAAAAATATGGCCATTTAATTAAGAATTAAAATAATGAATCTCTTTTACATTAATTAAAAAAAATGTCAGTAATATCTAACGATAAGTTAATCGTGTTTATTTTATCATTCTTTGCAGTTGCCGAAAACGAAAATATATTAAAAGTCGAGCCATTGGAAACTAGGCCAAAAAACGAAACGTTTAATTCGAAAAGTGAATTATTGATCAAAGAAACGGATACTAAAGTATCGACAGAGGGTAAAAAGAAATCCGTAGTCGACCTTAAAACAAAAGTGGAACAAAAATATCAGAAATCTTATAAGGAGGATGATGCTAAATCTTCTACCGCATATCTCGCATCATCTCGAGATAACACGGAATCAAGGTCCTCCGTTAAAAAAGAAAGCACCGCTATACCTCTTCTATTTCGTGGCGAGGTAATTGCTACTTCATCGTCATCTACGATGAAAATTCCTGACGTAACGGAGACATCAACTTTAACGGAAGATGAAGAAAATACGACAAGGATGGTGGAAACGATAAAGGGGACCAAAATTATGGATGAAGAATCACGAATCAACGAAGCGACATCATCATCATCATCATCATCATCATCATCATCATCGTCAAGCAGAGGAAGAGCACTCAACGTTACTGCACCTGAACCAGCTAATTCATTGCACACCAATTTGACGGATCTGAGTGACGTCAGCATGGACGAGAACGACAAAGAAGTCGAAGGTGTAAATTTCTTTTCGTCCGGTTATTCTTTTTCTTTTCTTTTTTTCTTTTTTTTTTTAAATTAATTACAATTTATCGTCATATCTCTCGTCAATTTGTATATTTAATTTTTTTAATTACGATTATATCAATGAATTTTGTTAGGAGGAGAATACGTGTTACCTCACAACGAAACTTTGATGAACGTTTCCTCGAGCTTTTTGTCTAATTCAATTCAATGTATCGACGATGGACGAACGTATTCTATGGGAGAGAAAATTGTTAAAGATTGCGAAGAAAAATGTATTTGCAAGGAGGGTGGATTTATTGGGGATTGTAAACCATTATGTGTTTCGCCATACGTTAGAGCAGGTAGAGGTATACACGATCCTCTTTGCGAAGAGAAATTAATCACCGAGGAACCGTGTTGTGCTATTTTAATTTGCGCTGCTGATTCAGGTATGTAAGATTTAATATTTAATGTTTATTTCTAATTATATTACGATCGATCGTTATGATCATGTTAATTTTACGGGATAAGATAAAATCTAAATTACTAAATAATTATCAACGATTTTATATATATTATAATATTCTTATTCTCGTAGCACCGGAACCGGAAGAGACTTGTTTATTTAGAAATAAAACTATTTCGAGAGGACAACGAGTTGAAGATGGTTGCTCGAAAGTATGTATTTGCGAAACTGGTGGAAATCTTAAATGTCAACCAAGGTGTCCACCAAATGAAACTACGTCTATCGCTAATCAACATGATCGTTGCGTCGAACTTATGGACCCAAGGTGTGTGTGTGTGCGTGTGTGTACATCTAATTAAAGTAACATTTAAATTCTACGTGTTACAAAACAAATCATAGAATACAATTTTTTCTATTGATAGAGATTCTTGTTGCACCATTACATTATGCGACGTTACTCTCGGCGATCACGAAATCAAAACCGAAAATTCAACCGATTTGAGTGTTAATTTGACCGATGTCAAAGTTTTAAATTCAACGGCGATCAAGTTAAAACTTTCGGGAAAAAATTTGGATACCGTTACCATCGAGATATCTGATAACAATCACGTTTGGAGACAACAAATACCCGACAAAGGTAAATAATTATAATTATATTGAGAATAATTATCTAGCGTTTTTTTTACTTTAACGATTTATTTCTTTATTTTTTTGTTCTCTAGCTGGCATCATTTCGAATTTGGAACCAGCACGTACTTATTACGTTCGTGTTATTGAATCAGGCCGAACTGGTCCAGCTATTCAAGTATCTTTACCTGCGGAAGTAATAAAAACTAATGTTTCGGAGAAAATGTTCGATAAAAATTCGTGCAGTCACAGAGGGAAATCTTATAAACTTGGTGCAGAATGGTACGACGAATGCATTTCCTTCTGCATATGTGCTGAAGGGGGAAAAGCAGAATGCGTTACAATACAGTGTCCTACAGATTTTGGATTGGACGTATTAGATCCATATTGTATTGATTGGGAAACCGTTCCAGCGAATTTCGTTCCGAAGGCACCTCAGTGTTGTCCTCAGGTAAATAAATAATTAATATTATTTATTAATTTATTTTACTGTGTTTTCTGATTAAAAAAAATAATGCCTGCATTTTCTACTTTTCCTATAACATATATAATATAAAACTTTAGAATGTTACTATTAAACGATCGCACCATCCGCCACTTTCAACGTTTCAAAACTAACTGTTCTCTTCATTGTTCCTTCGAAACATTTATATTTATATTTAATATGTAAACAAAAATTTTTCTGATTTACGTTTCGTCTGACAATGAGTTCGAAATAATGTGAGAAAGATAAACAGTGTCACCGTTATTCCCTTTCTATTACAATAACATATATATTATCGATGAAATATATATATATACATGGTGGGGCAATAACTCTAACGTTATATTTCTATAAATTATTTTTTTTTCCTTTTTCAGGAAGTTCATTGTAGAAATAATGGATCTTGCAATTATGAAGGAGTGACATACGTCAATTGGAGCGAATTACCATCGAATGTCACTGGATGTGAAAAGCGATGTTATTGTGAAATGGGAAATGTGACCTGCCATGCAGCCTGTCCACCTGTTCCTGCTTTGCCACCTGTAACGCTACAATGTCCATCGCAACAAGCAACCTTGATGCATTTACCTGGTGATGATTGTTGCTTGCATTGGGTCTGTGGAAATCCTTCGTTACAGGGTACAGATATACTTCGAACTTTAATCATTCGAAATTCAATTATAAACTTGATTTCAAATATTTTTAAAATAATTGAGAAATTGACTGATGATTGAGGAATGAAAGATAGAATCAGTTTAAAAAAAAAAAAAAAAAAATGAAAAACTGTTCACAATTCTTTTATTCTATTTAATGTTGACGGTGACGGTAATCGTAAAGGATAAAAAAACTTTCTTATCATTATATTTTCGTCCTTAAATTATAACAACAATTGGGTGTCTGGTATTGGGTTACGCTTTGTACCATGCGCGGACCTGACTGGATATATCCAGTATACTATTTCAAAAAAAATATGTATATATATATACATTTGTAAAAAATAATTATCATCCCAATTTAGTGTGTTAATCTAAACTAAGGATTATGAACGTATATCCATCGCACAGATTTATATCACTAAAAAGATAATAATCGGATAGGTATACCTGTCGTTCATCTATAAAAATCTCTTATACGTAGGTATAGGTATAGGATATAATAGTTTTGTATAAATACATACGTATATACGTAAATGTATATAAGTAGATACGAATTAATTGAAAAATAACTGTAAAAATGATCAATATCGGTCTTACACATACGTTAATTGTATATTTGTGCACAAGAAACTGTAGATGCTGCATGCTTTGTACGGCGGCAGGTGTGCTTGCACATATACGTATACATAGGTAACTTGGATCTGGCTGTAAATATGCATGGACTTTGGACAAATTCTGACCGAATTACCGACCGAATTTCTGTGACAATAGACTTTACTTATTGCAGGAATGAACGCGACGCCCGCGTATCCCGGCCCCTTAGCTACAGACACATTCAATCGGCAATCGATTGACGATAGCAAAAGATTGAATAACAAGTCGGAAATGGTCAGGCCCAGCCAGGAACCGGAACATGGCACTTCCTCCTTGTGGGAAGATTCGAAAAATACTAATACTTATGCCGMCCCTGCCACTACTACTCATGGACTATTTCATTATCCTATGGATCCTGGACATCCTACCGTGCCATACAACGGACCTTACAGTCCTGACTACAAACCTACTCATCCTACTATCGACGAAGTCTTTCATGTATCCTCTCAGACAGAAAAATTAATACCATTGATCAAAGATAAATCAAAAACAAAATTGGATTCTAAAAAACCTGTCGAACCAATGAAAACACATTTTCCAGGACCATTGAGTCCTGACAAATTTCCCGATAAAATTATGTCCGTTCCAATGCAACCAAACATGGATAATCAATATATACATAGTACGATTAAACCAAACAAATTATCAATATTTCAAAAGGGCGTTCACAACGTCGATCAACCTCAATTTATACCATTAAATCCTCATCAAGAATCCGACAGTTCCAGTTTCTCCTTTATACCGAATAACGGAGAGAACATACCTCCTTCTAGTTTTAATGAACAATTCGACGAGAGCGTGGCAGGACCACCTTACCATGATTCAATACCATCAAAACCAGACTCGATCGATCCAAACGTGATAATTCAAATGAATTCCAAAAAAAAAACTCAAATCGTTGATCATTTCTCCGACATAGATAAGATTAAAACTTTGTCAGCAATTTTACCGGGAAAACCAAAACAAGGTCAACGCAATCCCGAACAAGAGATCGCACCCGATGAACTGTACCATTTTATAAATATTCAACATCCTGGTTTAATTCAACTCGATCATGGTCCACCTCAAGGCCATTCCGGTATTTACAATCTTCATCAACAAATCTCAACACAAAAGCGACCGTCGACTAATCAAATACAAACAGGATATTTTGGTACTCCACCACCATTAGCGAAAAAAACTAGCAAGCCACACATTTTTACGCAAAAAAATGAAAACGGACAAACCACTTATCACATACACACGCCAGATATTCCTAATACTCCTCAAAAAATAGAAGAATTGTTGGCTCATATCAGTCAACATGATACTAATCCTGGACCATTCCAACATTATCCTGGACAACCACCAATACCTCATAACATACCGACCGGTCCGCAACCTTCTCTACCACTTCATATTGATGCTCATATACCACATTCAGGACTCACGCACTTGAATCATCCGTTCGCAGCACAAACGCCAAACCAGTCAGGTTCGTCCCTGATAGAAAAAGAAAAACAAAACAAAACAAAATAGAAAAAGAATCAACAAAAAAATCATTAATTTCATATGACAATAGGTTTTTATATTTATTACCTATACTTTGATTCTCTAAAATCTATCACACTTCAGGAAAAATTCATGTTCTACAATTGAGAATAATAGCCCATATCAGTTATTCGAAACTTTTATACGTTAATTAACTTTGAAAATCGTTGAATATCTTTATCATTTTTATTGCAGGATTAGACCATAATTTACCATCAGGTTTTCCATTAACAGGAGGTATTCCTAATTTCCCTGTATCGTCATCATCCGATGAGGTGACTGTGCAAGTTTTGGAAGCACTCGATGAGAGTACGGTACGATTAGTATTTACTGTACCAACAATTTTAGTAGGTCTTCATGGAAGAGTCGAATTACGATATACTAGTGATCCTAAGTAAGTTTATTATTTTATTTTATTTCTTATTCACATTACTACAAAATTTTCTATGAGATATAATCACATTTATATGAATATATTTAGAAATTTAAATCCAACAACTTGGAAATCAAAAGTATTTGCACCTCCTGGTGATCTGATAGCAACTCCTCAATTGGAATTTGAATTAGACGATTTGAAACCATCTACAGAATACAAAGTGAAAATAATGGTTAAGCTAAAAGATTTAACTAACAGTCCAATGAGTAAAGTATACACTGTACGTACTTTAGAAAAATATGCTGAAGGTACAACGTTACCACCACAAATACCAGTCGATGCGGAATTAAGAATAATGGAAACAAATTCGAGTTGGATTAATGTTATATGGAAGAAATTTACGGATTACGAGTTACAATTTATCGATGGTGTTCAATTACGATATAAGGAACACGATGGGAAAGTATACGCAGCTACGCCATTGATTCATAGATCTGTAACGAATTATGTTATTGAAAATCTTAAACCTATGACAACGTATGAAATTGGAATTTATTTTATACCATTCCCTGGACAAACTACTGAGCTTGTTGCAGAAAAAACGGTAATATAATAATGCGTATTTTATATATATATATATTTCTCTTATAAAATATAATACATATAAAAATTTGTTTTTATACAGATTCACGTAACTACGTCTTCTGAACCAGATCCTTACTCATTCGACGTAAAAGTTGAGATAAAAACTATTAAATCGACCGATGTTGAATTATCATGGAGTGGCGTTCCTTATCCTGAAGATAAATATGTTAATATTTATCGAGCGATTTATCAAAGTGACAGTGGCAAAGAAGATACAAGTACATTTAAAATCGCTAAAAGAGATTCTCCAGCTAAGACTATTATCAGTGATCTAAAACCAGGAACAAGGTATCGTTTGTGGATCGAAGTTTATTTAACAAATGGAAGAATTAAGAAAAGTAACGTACAAGATTTTGTTACTAAACCTGGTATTTTAATACCAACAAACGTGCCTCGACAAGGTATTTCATAAATTTTTATTATTTTAAAATGCATGTTGAAAAAAAATATGCATTATACACAAATGTAATATTTGTAAATAATTTATATTTAACAAAAGAAAAATTCAACTTTTATAGTGGGTAAATTGGCTTCTATACCCTTACACGAAGGAGATTATTATGGTCCTTTAGTCATAGTAGCAATAGTTGCATCTCTTGCGATATTATCTACATTGATTCTTTTAATGATGTTGATGAAAAGACGAACGAGCAGTAAGGCAGACATTTCACCGCGCAAAACTACATCGGCGTATGATAATCCTTCCTACAAGGTAGAATTACAACAAGAAACTATGGGTAATTTATTGTTATTTTATTTGCATTAAAATGCGGAGTTTGTATATACTCGAATTTTTTTATATTATGGTTTGCTTTGCAAAAAAATTCAATAGCTTGTCCAGGAAATGGTATGAATTAAATTTCAATATCGTACGTTGTCATCTACTTAATATTGTTATTAAAAAATTACATTTTATTCGTTTTATATGATAACGTGAAAAGAAAAAACTATTGGAGAGGAATTAATTTGAAATATTAGAATATTCGAATACAAAATAATTACTTATTTTAGTGGTAAAAAATTAATAAATATTATAATTATAAATGCTCAATTTTTTATTATAATTACAGCACAACGATATAAATATTCAGACTTTGTAATATTTGTTTTTTTAGACTTATGAAGATTCGACTGTTACTAATGGAAGAAAACAAAATATGGAACATGAAATGGCTACAATTAATAGCAATGTTAAGGATGTTGCCTGATATTTTGTAATTTATCGGATTATATTTATTTATAAAGTTATATTAATATACTTACCAATTTATAAAATCCGTCCATAGAAAACAATCGTCTATATATTTTACGCAAAAATATGCGTTTATTCGAAAATAAACGGGAATTTCATTATTATGGACTGTTCACTATCATTAACATAAATACATTATGTATTTCAGTCTAACGTAAAAATACTGAAAAACTTCTTCATTTATTAAATATAGAGCTTAATATGTGTCATGTATCAAATTTTGTACATAAAGCACGTGATAATGTAACATTTAAGATTTTCCACGAAAATGTTATAACACAAAGATTTTTATTACGAGAACTTTTACTTTTATTCAGTTTTAAGATATTAAATTAATAATTAATAATTAATAATAAACTTCAAATATATATATATATATAATTGTAAGAAACTGTGAATAAACTATGCTCTAAATTAAACGCACGTTTAAAAGTATTTTACAATATTTTCTTATAAATGTTAATAATATACATATATACAGGGTGAGTCCGGAAATGTGACGTTTCAAAATAACTCGTAAAATATACATTGTATGAAAAAATGTTTCCTGCATAGTTAAATTAAATTAGGGGACAAAAAGTAATTTTTTAATAAGATATCAAGATCATCGTTAGTTTTTTAAATGGAATGCCTAATTTTTTTTCTGAATTCTGATAAAGCATCAAATTCTACATAAAAAACTAGCATACTATGTAGGGCCTAAAATGAATAACTGCTGAGATATTCACAAATAAATTATTATTATTATAAGTGTTCGAAGTGTTCTCCATTACAATCAATGCACTTTCGTAATCTTCTTATCAAAGAAGTAAGATCCGGCAATTTGATAATCAATTATGCCACATCAGACATTCAAGCTCCATCAGTGTAGATGGTCTGTTTCACGCATCCATATTATTATTATTAGAATAAGTGTGCTATTATTAATGCATATAGGTCATACGTTCTTTGATAAGAAGATTACGAAAGTGCGTTGATTGTAATGGAGAACACTTTGAACACTTATAATAATAAAAATTTATTTGTGAATATCTCAGCAGTTATTCATTTTAGGCCCTACATAGTATGCTAGTTTTTTATGTAGAATTTGATGCTTTATCAGAATTTAGAAAAAAAATTAGGCATTCCATTTAAAAAAATAACGATGATCTTGATATCTTATTAAAAAAGTATCTTTTGTCTCCTAATTTAATTTAATTATGCAGGAAACATTTTTTCATACAATGTATATTTTACGAGTTATTTTGAAACGTCACATTTCCGGACTCACCCTGTATATATGTATATTATTTAATATTAAAATTTAAGTCTAATCACATGTTGAGTTTCTTTAACTTGGGATTATTTTGTACAGTCTGCATTTATATTGTCGAAAATCTTGAAAATAAACTCATTCATTATAGTAACTTGCATTAGTATAATTTTCAGGCAGAATAATATTTCCTTTAAATAACACTTAGTTGTGTTATATGTTGTTCCTTTATTAAATTATAAGAATTTTTGGAGACAAATAATATTATTAAAACAATCAAAATGATGTTTGTAAAAATGTTGCTTTATTACATATTTATATATGTCATGGGAAGAAAATAGTTTTTAACTATAAAGCTATGTTACACTATATGTTATTATCTTGATATTTATATATCTTAGATATTTAAACATAGATCTACCATAAAGTAAGATTTACAAATATTCTTGTAGAACAGGTTCCAATGTTAATGGTTCCTTGTTAGGAGAATATCTGGCTACAACCTTGCCTTCTTTATTAATGACAAACTTGGTGAAATTCCATTTAATGGTTCCACCTAGGTTGGTCAACCATTTCCACAGAGGATGAGCATTATCTCCATTGACATCTACTTTTTCAAACATGTCGAAAGTAACATTATATTTCTTAACGAAGTTAAGAATTTCTTGAGAAGTTCCTGGTTCTTGGCCACCAAATTGATTACATGGAAATGCAAGTATTCTCAATCCTGAATTTTCATACTTTTCATACAATTGCTGAAGTTGTTTATAATTAGTATCGGTTAATCCACAGTTGCTAGCAACGTTAACTATGATTAATACATGACCACGGTATTTGTTCAAGTCAACATCATTTCCATGGATATCAAGTGCGTGAAAATCATAAACAGAAGTTGGAGATTTTAAAGATTGTTGCTGTACATTTTTAGATGCGCATAGCTCTGAGTTGCTGTTCTCACAATTCTCAGACAATACTCCTGACAAAAAGCAGATGAGAAGCAACGGTATCCGCATACCTAATGAATGCGAATAAAGAAAATCCTTAACGAAAAGTAGAAATGTAAAAATACTTAAAATTAAGTTCTTATATGATAAAACAAGAAAAATAAACGCTCTAATGATAGTTTGTTATAGCTCTTTGACATTCCAATTCAGAAATTATTATCCTATGCAGTTTCATATATTATATATTGGTTGAACATTGTTTGTTTGAAAAACGAATCATTATTATTTACACATATAAAATTAAAATATTTATACTTAACGAAAGAAAATTACTCACGTAACATTTTTAAAGAAGTGTGGATGAATTCAAACACAACAATCAATTTATTTATAATAATTGTTCAAATGGCTGAAATAATTCTGTCTTATTATTTCTATTTTTATATATATATTATTAATAATAGCAAAATTAACCAGACGTGATAAGAAATGAATTTACCTTTACTGTATTTCCAATATATACTACTCAGATCACAAAAAGAAAAACACAACTCTTTCTTCTCTCCGGTTTCTTTATTACTAAAAGTTTTTTAAAATGAGGAACAAGGAAGTACCAGTTTCTTTCCTCTGGTTAGTCTGACGTCTTTAAGCCACCACCAATCAGAGTCTCTGTATCATGCATCAATAATAAAGAAAACAAGATGCCATCTTAGAACGCATATACCTTATAAAATAACTTCTAACCTTGTTAAATTAAAATAAGATTAAAAATTCTTTACAAAGAAACATATCAATGAATGCGTGTACTTAAATGCAAACTATTTTAATAAATATTATCATTAAAATAACTCTTATATATCTCGAGTTTACAAAACGTTCGTGTCTTTCTTTTTTTAAAATGTTGCATTGTGTATACCGGATGCATTATTGACACTTAAAATCACGTTCTTTACATCTATATACACATTCTTTCTCTTTTATAATAATTGTAAAAAAAGTTTGTTTAAATTATTAAAATTATTAAAATATATATTTGAAATGTGTCATTATTCAGTGAATGTGTTAGATGATTCAATATAACCTCAAAATAAAATAAAGTCATATTTGTATTTTTTATTTTTGTATTTTTTATTTTTGTATTTGCTGTTGATAGATTGTTATTAATTAAAACATACATATATTTATAATACACGGGCTTGTATTGTATAAACTAAGTTTTTTTTTAAATTGAAATTTAAAAGACCTATATAAAAATGGTAAGTGTAAATCATGTATACATCTATAAAAATAGAAAGAAAATAATTTTGTGTATAATTTAAATAAAACGGATCTATATATATATATATATTTTTATTTCAGGCACGTAATGCAGAAAAAGCTATGTGAGTAAATAAAATTTTCTTGCGTTCCTCTATAATATTTATTATAATTTCTTCGTAGAGAGATAGTAATTTGTTAAATTATTTTAATAGGACCACCCTTGCGAGGTGGAGAGCAGCACAAAGTAATGAAGGAGCTAAAAGAGAACAAGAGAGGAGGCCTTATCTAGCTTCTGAATGTAGAGACTTGAGGAAAGCGGAGAAGTGGAGAATGCAAATTATAAGAGAAATCGCTAAGAAGGTTGCGCAGATACAAAATGCTGGTTTAGGTGAATTTCGAATTCGTGATTTAAACGATGAAATCAACAAATTACTTAGAGAAAAAAGGCATTGGGAAGCGCAAATAAAAGAACTCGGTGGACCAGATTATTCTCGTGTAGGACCACGAATGCTGGATCATGAAGGCCGAGAGGTGAATAGATATTTTATGATTATTTGATATGCTTACTACTATTACTTATACTTAACATAAAATTCTTATAGGTACCTGGAAACCGTGGTTATAAGTATTTTGGAGCTGCAAAAGAATTACCAGGTGTGAGAGAACTTTTTGAACAAGAACCTCCACCACCCCCTCGAAAAACACGTGCAGAATTGATGAAAGACATAGATGCTGACTATTATGGGTACAGAGACGACGATGATGGCATTTTGTTACCGTTAGAACAAAAAGCGGAACAAGAAGCAAGAGACAAGACTATAGAAGAATGGCTACAGCATAAGAATAAAGAATCAGACTCGGAAGAGGAAATAGAAACAACTTCTCAAAAACCTATACCATCACAGCAAGACATACAAGAAGCATTACTTGCTAGAAAAAAGAAAGAACTATTAGAGAAATATGTTCTCTGACTGACACTTTATTTTTTATGCTCTTAATAACAACTATTCATAAATTTATTTAATTGTATCAGAGTACATCTTTATAAAACGCGATAAATATAGTTATTAATTTGTAAGTATTTAATAACATTGATCAAGGTAATTATTATTTTGTGCAGTAGACGTTTAAACTTTAATCGTTACTTATCGAGAAAAAGGGTGCTGTAGATAAAATATAAATAAAAATCCGATGAGATAGTCTGTTTATAACGTTCGCGATCTTCATTTATAATAGTTTTTGAAAAATATCGCGAATAAGATGATACGCTAATCCGCACCATTTTGATCTCATTAATTGCATAAAATCTTTTTTCTTAATTTGGCATACTTCTTTTTAACAAACGATCTTTAAAATAATGTCGTTTGTTAAGATCGTAACATTTTTATAGCGTTCACTGGGCATAGAAACAGCCGAGTATAACGAATTCTTTGAATTCTTTAGAGTAACTTGACGAAGTGATATATAAGGCAATGTAATCACGAAATAGTGCTCCTGCAATGAGAGAGTCATAAGATACACCTTTACGACTTATTACAATTATTTCATTTCGACGATGGATTACAGACAAATAAAGAATTCATTTTTGTAATGAAAACATCCTTAAGAGTGTACAATTGTCTGTATGTATGTAAATATGCAAGCGCGATTCAAAAACTTGCATTCCCATATCGTGTCATTTATAAACAGACTGTAACATAGTACGTTATGTACAATCATGTTGCTGTTAGGACTCAGAAGTAAATAACACTAAAAAGTACTAAAGTATATAATATTATCATTCCTTCGAATTTTTCTAACGTAGATGCATTTCTCTTGATCCAATTGTAAAGACCTTTTAGCGTATTATTATCGCGATTTCTTATTTGATAGCTAAATTAATTAGAGAGCTAGATATTAATCGGTATTTAAGTGTACTAGAACCAGAAGTGCTAAAGAAAATCGAAGCTGTAATATAGCGTGTATTTATATTTAACCAACGAGTCAACTTCTGAGCCCTTTTTGTATAATCGCTTTTGTGCCTAAGACATAAACGACAAAACAGTTCGAGCATGGATTAATTTTCTTTTTTTTTTTGTTTCATTAATGACTAAAAGACTATTACATATTGTAAGGCTTGAAAAAATCAAGCTCTAAATGATTCGTAGCTTATCCGTTGATCAGTCTCTCTCGCCCGTTTCTTTTTTTTCTTTTCTATTTTTTTGTTGCTTCTTCTTCTTCTTCTTCTTCACTATCCAATTCCTTCTATTATTAAACGCGTAGATAGTAGTAACGTAACTATATAGATCTATTCGTACTTATAAATTACAATCGCATAAATTTTTATGTCGATAATAAAATCGATAATCTATGATCATCATCACATCTGCATCAACGGGGTGCGTTTTGCGATTTATTGTGCGTCATTGAATTGTGAACGTGTCCTCGTCATCATATACTTATCATTCAGCATCGCACAACGCCAATCCATTCTCGAACCATCATCTCAAGACACCAAATCCGTCGTACTAATTGGTATGAAGGAATTACTGCATACTAGAATATATATATATATATACATACATATATATATATATTGAAAAAGTACCGCGGAGCAAAGATAAAACTCGGCACACTTGCAGCTCGAATCGAATTTATGATTCATTTTCCTTCTTTCTTTCTCTTTCTCTTTCTCTCTCTCTCTCTCTCTCTCTCTCTTTGTCTCTCTAATTTTTTCTTGTTCTTTCTTTTACTCTCATTGCACAAAGAAGCATACACGCACATGCACACACACATACATACACGCGCGCTCGTTCTCTCCTTTCCTTAGACGTCTTCCCTATGTGTCACAAGTGTCACAGTTGGGACTATCGCGACATTTCCTAAAAAGGGTGAAAGGCACAAAGTAAAAAATAAACGATCAAGGTTTTGGCTCAGGCACATATATCCGAGTCGGAGAGTTCTCATGCCACAAATTCGTGATGTCGACGAAGTCGGTGGTGCCACCGTATAGTGGATGAAATATATCGAAAACACCCTCGACTCCCTCCACCGTATCAAAAAGGGGAATGTATGTATGTATGTACTTGGTACATCGAGTATAGAGTTTACAACTCAGAGTTTTTTTTTTTCGTTTTTCTTTCTTTTTAGCGCTTATATTACGATAGCAAGCAGCTCTGATTGTAACGCAGTATCTATCTATCTATCGACAGATGAGACGCTTATTATTGGATTCGTGCGCGTATGTGTGGTTTCATTTTTCTTCGTTTTCTTTTTCCAGTCGGCAGTGCACGCGGCGGGACTCGCTTTGTCCGATGTTGTTTGAAATAAATGCCTAAAGACGAGGAAAATCTTTGTATCGTTCTTAGAGCGAATCCTTTTCTCGCTTCAAGGACGTAAAAGTGAGTGCCAGCGTTGAACTTGCGTTGGCTGTCGGGCTGCACGCATGTCGTTCCAATGTTGCAATTTTTCTGATCCGGAACTGTTAAAACCTAAACAGAGCCAACCGATCATTTCTCTTCCCTTCTTGCCCATACCGCCTCTTCGCCGATTATAAACCGAAACCAAAAGGGTCACGTCACCTAATTGGAAAAGAGCGACCTATGAACAAATCAAATTTCTATTATTCACTTTGGATATAGTGTAAGTATACTTAACGTATATTGATCGTCACATTGGTCATCATTCGTGACCGATATGGTACTATATATTATATTATATTTTATCTTAGAATTATGACATTTATGGTAACGTGTTTAAAAAAAAAAACATATTCTTTACCTGAAAAACAAAGGTTTCCTTATAAAGTGGATTTGGTTGGGCTCTTTTCAAACCCGTCTTAGATCGACTCATCTCATGACCATTGCTATCGACCAGAGCCAATTTCACATAAGTATCCGGTGGTTTAGTATCGTTGCCACCACCCCCACGGAAATGAGAACCCTTGATAATTTCTACCGATAATCGTCCAGTTGTACCGTTATAAGATAGCCCTATTAATATTTCCGCAACGCTTCCACCTTTCATGCTACTCCCGTATGGTGGTATGGTAGGTGATGCGTATGATTGAACAGATTGTTGAGAACCCGTAGAATCGCTACGCGTCAAACTGCTGCTCGTACCCCAATCCTGAACCTGTAACAAGTTTTTCTTTCAACGTGACTCTATCCGTACCTCGTATAAATAAAAATATTTAATAAGTCAATCACATATATATATATTTGATTTACCGAAGATGGCGGTGGTTGTAAAGTTAACCAAAGAGTGGTTTCGAGTTGTAGGTTGATTTGATCGAAGGAGACTCTAGCTTCTCCGAGCAATCTTTCTCTACGCATTCTTCCACCCCATAAATAAACTCTCAACCGTACTCCCATAGCGTTCACATCCTCCGGATTAACACGAGGGAGAAGGAAACTTTCCATATATTGGGGTGAGTTACCCTGTTTAACGCGAGTCTTACGTCTTTGCTTCTTAGATGGTAACAATACTAAACGCACTTGACTACCACCGATTCCGGCTGGATAGTTTCGTCCTTGTAAAACTTGTACCTGCCATAATAATTATAATGCATCATTATAAGCAAGTACATATAAATTTACACGTAAAGTAAACTCTCATATAACACGAGTTTTCTTCATCGTTTCATCGCGATTGATTTCTTTTCTTTTGTAATTGATTTTTTGTTTATATTCTTTATTATTACATTAACAAAAATAATTTATGTGGAAAAGAAGAATTATCTTAATATTTATATCTAACACACATATGTTCTACGAATTCATATTAATCGTAATATATTAAACTGCGTTATACGAGAATCTATTGTTATTATACTTATCGAAAAAAATATTTATCCATCTAAGAAGCTAACCGTCATCTCACGCATAGGTGCATCGTAAAGAAAAGCGACTTCTAAACTACCAATTTCTTCTGGCACGGTTCCCATTGTCGTGATAACATTATTCGTCGTAGGTACATTCTGTTCGATCTCTGCCTCCTGTTCTCTATTATCGAGTATAATACTGGAGGCACCAACTTCCACTACGCACTATATTACAAAAAAATTGTCTAGTTTGTAAAAATATTTGAAAAATTGTGGAATGTTTGAGATTATATACGCATTAGTATTAGGTAGATTACCTGTTGCTGTGATGCTGCCGGCGAATGTTCCTCGGTGCAACTACTTGAAGTAGTTCCAGCATCTATATAAAATGCATTAGGTATAAAACGTATATTTAATTTTTATTTTTTGACATTAATTATATAAAATAAAAACGAAAGAAAAATTATAAGTACAGACCAACGATCGCTGGACCATCCTCGGCTTGTATAGTCAACGTATCTGGTGGTGGATGAGGATGCGAATTCAATCTTCGTAAAGCGTCTTCTTCCGAATCGGAGCTCGTTTCTGGATCCGAATAAGAAAATGCTTTTCCTGTAATAACGTTTCATCAAAGATAATTATTTTGATCGATGATAGATGTGTTATAAAAACGTCGGCTGATGATTTAAAGAAGAGCATCAAGGGACTGATGTTCAAAGGCACTCCATAATTTGTATATTTTTTTAAATTTTTTCATCTACTAATCGTTATAAAAATAAGCACACTTTTACAACAAAATAATAAAGCGTAATTATATGAATTTGATGATAATAAAATCAAACTCTTTTGTTTATAACTTCTGAATAATGATTAATTCAAAATGATCATTGCGTTTGAAATTATATCAAATAATTAAAAAGGCGTTCAACGTTGTTCAAGTTCGGCCCTGTATAACAGGTAGACAAAAAAGGAATGAATAAAAAAAGAAAAAAGGGAAGAATTAAAGAACGAATAAGTAGGCGTAAATTGCGTACCTATATTTTTCGATATTTGAGATGCAGAGCTATTGCTGGAGTCGCAAAGCGGAACGCAAACTCCACCAAAGAGGGCTGCCGAGGTGGGCGGTGTGAAGCACCACTTACGAGAAAGATAGAGAAAGATGGCCAGCAATAGGACGATAAAACCAGCAACGGCACCCAGAAATGCAGTCGCTTCCACAGGTACTAAAAACAAGCCTAATATAGTAATGAATCTTCCAATCGATTTGATTAACACACGAACTTTCTTATATACTTATAATGGGAAATAAATATTATAGATTTTTCCATTTCTTCTACAGATTTCTCTTAAACATCGGAATATATATATATATGAACTTTCGAGCGACGATCTCATGACAAACGAACCGTTCTTGATAACGTTATTCACGCTATTGGTTGTTACACGTAGTTATACGCTAGCATGCTTATTATTTAATAAGCATAGAAACGTTACTGATCTTTAACACAGAGAAACAAGGGAAAGTCTAATATGTATATACTTTCCTAAGTAACTTTTTTAAAGATATATATAATATATGATGCGTATATGCGAAAAACAAAAAGAAACGATATCGCAATTTGTAATACCTTCGTAAAAAGATTTTCAACTGCGGAAAATTAAACGAAAGAGAGAAAGAGAGAGAGAGAGAAAAAATATTGCTTTTTCTTACTTTTTTTTTTTTATTTATTCTTTATTTTTCTTTTATCAATAATGATTATTTATAGTTTCAAGCTGAGAGAACTCTTCGGCCATCCATAAACGAATTTTATAATCAACTACCGGTTGCGCATAGTACTGTCAGTATCGAACGTTTCAAACGATAGCGACGCATTACACTTTAATGACCCGGAATAATTAATCGTCGCCCCAGATACCGTAGAAACTATCGTGCCACACGCAATATATTCTACGCATGGTCTTGCTATGCAATACCAATATTTCCCTTTGCTATTCCGGAATGGAGATAAAAATGAACAGCTAATTCTCTCTCTTTCTCTCTTTTTCTCTCTCTCTCTCTCTCTCTTTTTCTCTCGCGTAAGACGAGATTTTTCGAAGAGACGTTATTCTCTCATCCGCGTTATATTCGCTCGATGAGTTCGTCGATAAAGCGACGAAAGGAATCGCGACTTTGTGGTATCACAAAGGAGAAACAGGCAACAAGGGGAAAAGGGAAGTTGAGAGAGAGAGAGAGAGAGAGAGAGAGAAAGGGGGAGAATGAAAAAAAAATAATGGCTTTGCGCAATGCGGAAGACGAAAAGTAAGTATAACATAAACGCGTAAGCATTTAGGGACAGTCCATAAAAGTTAGAATCTTATATAGGAATGAGAAAAAGTATTGGTGATAGTATCATAGAAAAGTGTGAATGGTGCACGTGACAAGGGCTCCTCGTTGTTGTCCGAGGACGAAGAGAACGAAGGTGAAGGAGTGTTGGGATAGAGGGTGGGAGGGAAGGAGGAGCATATCTAGAGGATGAGATGGCGGATAGGTGGGAGGTGTAAAAAGGGTTTTGTCGCGCGGCAATGCGGTTGGTCGGTCGGTAGGTCGGTCATTTGGTCGTTCATTCAGTTGTTCAATTGAAAAAAAACCCGACCACCGTGATTGAAAATTCCATGAGAAACTGTAGGGTTACGTGGCTTTATACATATCTACGTGCTTGGAATATTTGTGTTAAGGGCACATTCGGATTACGTTAGGCAACTTTCGGTTAGGTACTCGGCTAGACTCTTGTGGGTATCGGTTGGGCATTCGGCTAAATTCGCGACTAGTCTCGAACATCACGTTAGAGTGGACTTACCCGTTAAGAAATGGTCTGATCCAGCCAGAGTCATACTCGTCCGTGGTGACACATTTAAAAAAAATAGCTCGAACCAGCTTACTTGCGTCTCTCGATCGGGCACGATAAATAAGTCATCCAGGATGAGGGACTCATCGTACAATTATATTTCTTTCTCACCTTTTTTCACACCATATATATATATATATATATATGTATATATATTTGATTATTTTATTTACTCTCGTTAGACGCACGGATAGAAAAAAGACACGGGCAGCGGTGGCGGCGACACGTTTAGCTTTCCGACAGGCTTTATTATCGCAGGAAAAAAGCGTGGACGCTTCCTCGAGGAGCGTCGCGATACGTGGGCGAGGGTGTACACAACGACACTCTGTTGCTCCGTTCTCTGACAGACTTGCGCTTGTAGCACCCCAACCGCGACACTAATACGCCTGCGTGCACGCCCCTCACGATATCATTCCTATAAACCACTCTGCTTTCTACGATCAACGTGCAACCAACTGACCGACCGTGCAACCGACTGATTACTCCTTTCTTCTATCCTTTCTATCTTATTCCTTCTCCCCTTTTATTCGTGTTTACCTCCTTACCTAGATTTCTCTTCAATTTTCTCTAGTTATAATTTATTTTGGATACATCCTATTCGATTCATTCACCATGCTTTTATTGAATCATTATCGAATTAACGAATGTTTTAAATCGAGGAATATATCACGATGTAAATTAATTATTAGATCACGTTATTTATATTTTTATGAGTTTCTTTCTTTTTCCATATGCCAATTAAAAAACATGAATTCGTTTAAAGACAAACCTTACGCATATATCTAAAAGATATTAAATTCTTTAAATACTCACTAAATATACTTTCATCGTTCTGCATAATTGTCACTGGGAAACATTTACTGCAATACTATATGCGCATTTCGAAGTTTTATTTTGGATGCATCTATGTAAGGTGTGTAATCTATCATCAGGGACACGCTTGTAAAATTATTTCTCAAGTTTTATCGTTAGATGGCGCTCACATATCTCGAAATAATCGATCGAGGACATCGAGCTTCAATTCAAGGTCATAAATACGATGATCTAGAAATATCGAGATAAAATATAGACTTTCGATTTATAAATAAAATGTTTAATTAAAATAATAAGATTATAATAAACAAGTCAATAGTATTGTATCAAGCGCTGTATCAGCATTATTTTGTTAATATGACTTTTTAAAAAATAACGTTTCAAACCATTTGCTCTGTTTTATTCAAAAAGTCTTAAACGCTCGACAATCTGATTTCATAATAAAACTATTTGAATAAAGATTAAAGAAATAATCATAATGTTAATAAAACAAAGCAATATAAATATTAAGTATTATGTCGTATTTAATTAATAATGCTATAACAGTATGTATGTTTTGTTTAATTATACTTTAAACCTTGCAATTAGTAACAATCGTCGTAGTTATTCATATAAATCGAATAATATTCACATATTACAATAAGTAATTATTTTGACATGATTTCTAATTTTTTTATTTTTTTTTTATTTTTTAACGATTAGAGAATTTAATAAATTATTGAAAAATTGTAATTTTCTCTATAGCATCCGTCGATAATAGTAATCGGAATTTTTTAAACATGTCTCTCGAATATGAGATAACATTGTAAATTTTATCAATGTCATAATAATAAGATGTGATTTTAATATAGACTTTTGTATTTCATACTAATAAATAAAATATTTTTTATTATGAACGGATTAAATCGCATTTAAAATCTTATTATAAAAGGTAAGCTCGAATTATTACAGGTTACAAATACCGAATTCTAACCTAAAAGTAAACTTACAATTACTAATTTTATTGGTTATGCAAATATTATTATGCTACTTTATGTGTATAAAATATCTTTGTTTCGTAACTGGTAATTATTACATTAAAAATACTTTTTTTTATTAATTTAAGAAAAATATAGACAAATAATTATGAATTTCATCACAATATTACCATTAAAACAAACAAGAATTTTAAAGAAGTGTCTCTTAGAACAATATTTGAAAAGATATTTGAGATGCCAAGTAAAGCTTTATTGCATTAAACATACTAGTCATAAGAATTCTATTAATTTAAAAGACCGTACTATAAAACGTAAAGCATTAAAAGTACGAATATTGGAAGATATAAAAAAAACGAGAAAGAAAGTAGAAGGAATTATCGAAAGAGAAAATATCTGGACTGTTCCTAATCTTCTTTGTGTGGGTCGTATGGTAACATCGCCTTATTTAAGTTATTTAATATTATCACAAAATTATCAGGTAATTCTTTCCTTTTTTGAAAGAGATGCTTTTCTAAATGATTATTAATTGATAAGTAAAACGTATTATCTTCTTACAACTGTAGGTAGCATTATGGCTATTGGCATTCGCAGGAGTTAGCGATTTAGCAGATGGATGGATTGCAAGAACATGGTCGTCGCAAGCTTCTAAACTTGGTAGTTTTTTGGATCCTGTTGCAGATAAACTGCTTGTAGGAACTCTTTTTCTTTCTTTGGCATGGGTAGGATTAATACCAGTGCCTCTTACATGTCTTGTTGTTGCAAGAGACATTACTTTAGTTGCTGCTGCATCTTACATCAGATATCGGTCATTACCTGCTCCCGTACGTAACTGAAGTTTTATTTCCTAAAACTGAAGCTACACTTTTTGGTATAAATACATTATGTTTCCATAATGTTTCTTTCATCTTTTAGAAAACACTGGCAAGATATTTTGATCCTACGCATGCGACAGTACAGTTAGCACCTACTATTGCGAGTAAATTGAATACAGCAGTTCAATTGGCTTTTGCTGCTGGGACCGTAGCAGCTCCTGTTTTTCATTTTGTCAATCATCCCGTTCTTCAAGTTTTATGCTATGTGACTGCAATATCAACATTTGCTGGGGGAATTAGTTATTTGACATCTAGAAATACGTACAAATTTCTCAGAAAGAAAAAAATCTCAACAAAGCCGTAATAAATACATTTTTGTTCTTTTTTCTATTATTATTATTATTTAATAGCAAATAAATAATGTACAGTTACTGAATATTATGTACAAATTTATTATTGCAATTTTTCACACATACTATTTTGCATATCGACATTTAAGCATGATAATATTTACAGAGTAATATAGTATTAATTATTAAACTTACAAGGGTATATTTACACTAATTAATCTATATGCATTGGCCTTATTAAAATAAAACATCATTTAAATCATACATTTCATAAGCAAATTCTTCCCACTCATAAGGATCGTATACAACTCCAATATAATCTATCTCGAGCTTAAATGGTCCAGGAGCTCTATCAGAAGCTATGATACCAAAACTTGATATATTAGTTAAATTTATAGGGGTTTGAGAATCTTGTACTCTTCCATGACTGGACAAAAAGAATTTTGAAAATGGTATTTTCACAAATTGCCAATATGGACCACCCCTTGTACAAAGTACGTAATTATACAATTCATTCCAAAAGATATCAAAAAACCCTTTATTTCCAATATTGATCATATAAATTCTTCCATCCCCTCTTACACGCATAACTAGATGATTGTATAATTCCCAATTCAATCGTGCTTCTCGTTTAAAACTTTTCCTAAATGTTGCTGTTCTAAGAGCGCAGTAACCTGCATTGTTCATTTTACCAGTTTTTGGAACTTTACAATCTAATGTACCTGAAAATACGGCTCTACCATCAGGACTTAACTCTAATCTAAAAAATAATGTAAACAATTTTAATATATAGACACATTTTTCAAAGTTTTATATTAAATTTTGAATAGAATTAGTAAGGAAAACATGTACTTACTTGCAAGTTGAAAAACCTTGTTTATAATCACTATCGCATACGGTCAACCATGGATCCAAAGATTTTGGATTCCCATTAAAATCCCAAACAATGTCTATTTCATCCGGCTGTGGAAAAATATCGGGACCAGCGATAAAATCATTAGTTTCTTTCTTGAACAAAGCTAATTCATTTTTTAATTGTGAATAGCCTTTTTTTGCTTTTTGTAAAAAATTTAAGTTTTCTTTCTTAGGTGGCCTATCATATACTACAGGATATCCTGATCTTGGATCTTTTTGATATATATGTCCTAGCCTGTAGCTTGGATAGAATACTTTTTTCACAACAGGTCTATTAAATAGTATTAAACGCGTTAAGAAATTCATTTTGCAAATAATTTCTTTATAACGTTATTGTCATCAATTTTGTATGCATTATTACAAATTTTCAATAATTTTTATTTAAATATAAATTTCTATAAATAATATATAGATAATAGTATATAGTAATAACAATCAATTTCTGCATTAATTTTTTAAGTTAAATCGTATCTTAACTCATAAAATTTAACTATTGTACACATAATATTAAGATGTGTTAACTCTGTCAAGTAAATTAACAAGAAAATGTTTATACTGCGCCCTAGCGACAAGTTATACTAACTAAAGTTATGTGATTACAAATCTATTCGTGTCCTAATCGTTTATGAAAGATGGCGATTGTTATAAATTGGAGGTTATTTAAATGTGATAAATTACAACTTTTTCGTTGTAAAAAATATCGCAATAATGGTAGCATCCATTCGAAATTTAAAAGAGCAGTCAGTACTCTCAATGAATCTGAATGTGATACTACAGCTACATTTTCTAATGGGTAAGAATACTAGGGGTATATTATTTAACCTCAATATTACATATTATCAATTTATAAATTTTTATTTTATTTGCAATAGAGTTATTGATAACTGTTTATCGTTCACTATATTCTTTTTTAACATTATTATTTAATTACTCCTAATTACTTCATTAATAAAGACATGTGCTATTATTTAATTACTTTATTAATAAACAAATATATACATATGTATGTGAAAAAAGAAATATAGAACTCTGATCAGTATTTATAATAATAAAATCTAATTTTGTCTTTTTCTTATATAGGACAAAACTTATTATCTCTAGTGGAAAGTATGCTCGGCTTAGTAATAGCAGTACTGTTGCATCTATCGGACATACATCTGTTATGGTAACAGCAGTGTGCAGTAAAAGTAGCAGTAATAAATCTATGCTTCCTTTGACTATAGATTATAGACAAAAGTCAGCGGCTGTTGGTCGTATACCAACTAACTTTATGAGAAGAGATATTGGAACAACGGAATATGAAATTCTTACTAGCAGATTAGTAGATAGATCATTACGACCATTGTTTCCACAAGGATGGAATTTAGAAACACAATTAGTATGTAATACATTTGCCGTTGATGGGATTAATGATCCAGATGTAATATCTATTAATGGTGCATCCGCTGCTTTGAGTTTATCCGACATTCCATGGAATGGTCCTGTTGGTGCAGTAAGAGTAGGAATAATAGATAACGTATTAAAAATAAATCCTACTAGACAAGAAATGCAAGAAAGTATATTAAATCTTATTGTATCTGCAACAAGCAATAATTATGTTCTTATGCTAGAAGGATCTGCCAATAATGTTTCACCACAAAATTTAAAAAAAGCTATTAAACAAGGTGTTAAAGAATGTCAATCTATAATCCAAGCTATTACAGAATTACAAAAGAAATGCGGTAAAAAGAAGATGAATTTTACTGTTCCTGAAATTAAAGATGTAGATGGTATAACTGAATGCATAAAGTTAAATACAGAAAATAAAATACGAGAAATATTGACTAATTTTAAACACGACAAGTTATCCAGAGACAATGCTATCTCCGAAGTTCTTGTCAATGTGACTGATATTATTATAGAAAAGTATCCTGAAACAGAACTAAGAGTAATAGAAAATATATATTATAAGTTTGTTAAAGAGATTTTTAGATCGCTCATCTTTGAAACTAATATAAGGTACATATATAATAAATTTATAGTGATAAATTGTATCAATGTAGTTAATAGTTGTGTGATAATCCATCTAAAATTAAATACATTGAAGGTGTGATGGTCGTAAACTACAAGAATTAAGAAAAATTACCTGCCAAGTAGATTTATTTAAACCCCTTCATGGTTCTGCACTTTTCCAGAGAGGTCAAACGCAGGTTTTATGCACGGTTACATTGGACTCCTTAGAAAGTGCTCTTAAAATGGATACAGTTTCTATGCTAATAAGGTGTATATAATATAAAATAATATAGACACACATAACTCATAAATATGTATATTGATTATTAATATTTCTTTATATGTTTGTAGTGGTATGAAGGAAAAGAATTTCTTTTTACATTATGAGTTTCCTCCATATGCAACTCATGATGTAGGACGTCTAGGAGTTGTTGGACGTAGAGAAATGGGACATGGTGCATTAGCGGAAAAAGGATTAAGATCTGTTCTTCCAAAAGACTATCCATTTACGATAAGATTGACTAGCGAAGTACTTGAATCTAATGGTAAATATACAAAATGAAAAATATTACATAAAAATGTTGACAAATTCTTCAAAATAATATTATGCTCTTTATGGAAAGGTTCTTCATCTATGGCTTCTGTATGTGGTGGGAGTTTGGCTCTTATGGATGCAGGAGTACCAATCTCATCACCAGTTGCAGGTGTTGCTATGGGTTTGGTAACCCAATTCGATGATCAATGTCCCACTCAGATTACAAATTATAGAATATTAACGGATATATTAGTAAGCACTTGATCTTTTATTTTATTATATGTAAATTACTAAATTATATATATTGAATTCTTAGCGACTATTTAAATTATATTTTTTATTAGGGGATGGAAGACTATTTAGGTGATATGGACTTCAAAATAGCTGGTGATAAGAATAGTTTTACAGCTTTACAAGTTGATGTAAAGATTGCAGGTGTTCCCTTAAAAATAATAATGGAAACTATTGAACAATCTCAGGTTGCTAAGAAGGAAATCATTGAAATAATGAATAGAGCACTATCCGAACCGCGGAAAGATCATAGTGAGAAGATGCCAGTGGTAGAAGAATTAGAAATTCCTGTACATCAAAGAGGAAAATTTCTTGGAGTAGGTGGTATTAATTTGAAGAAGCTTTTCATTAAAACTGGTGTTCATGTACGTAGCATTTCTATACAATTTAATAATATAAATTTTTTATATTTTCTATAAATTAAGTAAAATAATTTTTTATTGCCATTTTATTAGATATATTCAAAGAATGATGATATATATACTTTGTTTGCACCTAACGAACTCGCCTTAAAGGAAGCCAAAGAAATAATAAAGGAGACGTTACAAAAAGATCGTGAACCTGTATTAGAATTTGGAGCTATATACACTGCAAAGATAGTTGAAATTCGAGAAACTGGTGTTATGGTTACACTTTATTCTAGTATGACACCTGCGTTGTTAGTTAATTCTCAGTTAGATCAACGTAAAGTTTTTCATCCTAGTGCTCTTGGTTTAGAAGTTGGACAGGAAATAAAAGTTAAATATTTCGGTCGTGATCCGGTTTCAGGTTCCATGAGACTATCACGGAAAGTTTTACAAGATCCCATCACTGTTACAAAAACATTATCGTGAAATTAAAACCATATTAAATTGTGTACAATTTATAAAAGTTCCATCAAACAAACATACAAACAAATTTAGGACAGTTTATATTAATTTTAGTTATACGATAAAAATGAGTTCTTATTAATTATTGTTTCTAAACGATTCCTTTATAATATAATATACACATAATGTTATCATGAAAGACCGAAATTGAAGAATGTCTACAGTCACATGATTGTTTGTTGTATGTCCGAAATATTAATTGATAAGAATAAATATATATATTCGGTCTTTCACCGAGGTATTTCATATGTGTTGACAAGTGACCATGTGAATCTTGACATTCTCCAATTTCGGTTTTTCATGTTAACATATGTATATATATATATATATATATATGTATATGCTATTGATTTTTCAACGATTAATAATAGCATAAATCTTTTTAATTGTGACTGATAAATTTGTACAAAATAGAGAAAATATTTATATATATTTTTTAATTATAGATAATAATGATTTTCAATGAAATGTTAAAAAAAAAGAATATTCTGTTTTTTATCTATATAAAAAAAATATCGAAAACAGTGTTTATGTCAACGTGAATCCGATAAAAAATTTGTATTGAATTTGATTAACAAGGTCTAATTTGGTAAGTAAAGCTTCGAACGAATAGATTGATTTCGAGAATTATTAAAAAAACCTTATCTTTTTTAAAAAAAATCAGATAAAACACACTACCGTAGTAACGCTTGCAAGAACCTTAACAGCAGAAAAAAATGAATAAGTGCTCTTATTTGTTCAACTTTATTTTATCAAATATTTTTTATTTATCGTTAATTAGTTGAAAATAATTATTACAC